CCCCAAAACCCCAAAACCCCAAAACCCCAAAACCCCAATAGCAGTTATTATATAATTTATCAATGGGGAATAATTTAAATAGCCAATATATCAACGTGCTTGATGGTGTGCTCGATGGAGAGCAGCCTTATAGTGAGGTGGATGAGTCCAGTATGCACTCTGACCTCCACCCGATGGTAGGAACTGGTGAAGGCAGGGGTGAAGATGGGGGTGGAGCAGCAGCTTGTAATTTTTGATGCAATGTTGGATACTTGTTAGCGAGTGATTTAAAACAGAAAATTGAAAAAGTCAAAAAGTAACTTAATTTCTGCACATCTTTGATATTTTTGATTGCTTTTATTAATATTGACATCTAGAGAAATTAGTCATATCCAGCTGAATAACGACCTCACCAGCTTAAAATAATTTCAGTATTTACGTAGAAAAGTTGCGAGTAGGAGTAGGTAAGATAATTGAACTAAACCTTGCTTCAAATTAGCCAAATCTTGGTTTCTAAAAACGTTTATAGACAATATTCTGGACATTTACTCCTTAGACTTAGTCAATTCATTCAAATCCAAAAGCTTCACATCAATGAGTAAAATATAAATGAATCATTCCAAAGGGTATGATAATATCTCATTGCTGTAGATGCCTATCTCTTCTAAGACTGAGAGCGAATTGAAGCACTTTGAAAGTAGAAAGTACTCACCAACTTTAGGTATGGAAATTATCCCTGTCCAAACAGAGAGGATAATTCACAACTTAATTCAACTTCTCAAGATTGTCTCTCACCCAGTAAGTTTTTATTAATATTGCCATTTAGAACGATAGTCAAGGCGGCAGCTCCATTGAGCTAGAATACAAAATTGTGCAAATAGGCTCTCAGCACAAGACAAGTACGATTTAGCACAACCCTATATAGCTCGGATTTATTTCTCTGTAATGGATAAAGACAGAAGGATTAGCTCGTATGATATTGAGGCTAATCAGGAAAAATTTCATAAGCCTTTTAATAATTATCAAAATTACCAGTTTTTATACTTGTTCATGGTCCGCAAGATGCTGCAAAAGTATATTCCCGAGTTTATTGTGTAGGATACAGGCTTCAGAGCTTGAGTACTCTGAAAGCAAATATTGAGGCCATGAGTTTAGATTTCACCTCACTTGAAAATATTCGAAGATCAATGATTGCAAATTTAGTTCGAGAAGTAGGTTTATGCCATAATTATAGATGGCAGCAATACTGTTAGCTTTGTCGTAGATAATGAGAAAACAGCTCCTGTAAGATATAAGAAGAGCGATATTGATAAGTTTAACCCTATCAGTAAAGCCAGTAATCTCCAGAGCTGATTATCTTTGAAAGCTTTCACTAAGAAGTAAGCCCCCAAAATTTCATGCTAACCTTATTTCTAAAGATATCAAAGCAGGAATTTCAAATTGAACAATGCAGATACTAAAAGCTTAACTGTCAAGAATATTGAAAAGGCCCAGAATTCTTATACTCCAAATTAAGACTTCAATAACTCCTCGAGAAATGAGAATGAGCCAGGCATCCACTTTAGACCGCTATAGAGAAGGTATTTTATTAGATTTCCTAAAATTGGTGCTGAACTTTGTTTCCAAAGGAGTGAATTCGTATGGAGAATAAATATAGTTTTTAATATAGTCAACGACTTGTGAGGAAAAACAACCAAAAGTAGTTTCTTAACGTCATCAAAGGTAAAGTCAGCTTTCATATTCTAGAAGAGACTAAAAACTCACAAGAGGTTTTATAGTAGTGTTATTGATAGAAAAATAGTTCCTGAAAAACCAGGGAAAGGGATCATATCTAGTCCATCGGATTTGATAAACCTAGACCCCAATTCAAGGATCTGAGGTTGCCCTAGAGTAAGGATTGTGACTAATAACTCTAGCTTCTTGCAGTGACTGAAGATTTTCTAGACAGGAACTATATAGAAGGGATAACCGGCTTATACAATATTGAGACTGAGTTTAAATACATTATAGAGGACGCAATAAACACTCTAGTTGAGTTTCCGCGATCTCACTATTGTTGCACTGGGTACCAATATTTGTTTGTGTTCTACAATCATCATGGTACGCTTCCTACAATATTCTAGATCCAAAATACCTGTATTGGATAAAACAGTTGAAGAAAGAAGGCAAGATCGATGACTCTTTGAAAGTTGTGGTATTTGTTACAGAAAAAGGAGCAAATCCTTTATCTGAGGATGAATTTGACATCAAAATTCTTGTAAAACCCGTCTTTTCAAAAGATATAAAGGAGATTTTGTCCATATAAAATTCAATATTTTAAGAATATTTAGGGGTTTTGGGGTTTTGGGGTTTTGGGGTTTTGGGG